AATAAGACAGTTGATTAAATTACCATTGGAAAATGCTTGTCATTTTCCTGTAGCATCTGGTCCCCACTGTATCCTTTTCATTTCCTTCACCTGCTCCCCCCACCAACCAATTTCTGCAGCTCTGCAACTGCATCCCTGCCTATCCTCACCCTTCTGCCCCCAACCCTCACCTCCTTGTACCCACAATATGTTTTTTCCCAATTAAAAAAAAAATCGGGAAAAAAACCCACAAATTATGGCTAACATGAGAACCCCAGAATACTTAATTGTTCTTATTAGAAACTTATATCTAGACCAGGAGGCTGTTATTCAAACAAAGCAGTGGAACATTGAATGGTTTAAAAGTGAAATTAGGATTGTATCCTTTCTCCATACCTATTCAACCTGTCTGCAGAGAAAATCATTCGAGAAGCTGGACTTAATGAAGAAGAATATGGCATCAGAATTGGGGGAAGGCTCAACAACAACCTGCATTATACAGATGACACAACTTTGCTGGCTGAAAGTGAAGAAGACTTGAGGCACTTATTGCAGAAGACTGAAGAGTACAATCTTCGAAATGTATTACATCTCAACATCAAAAAACCAAAAATCTTCACCACCAGGCCAATAGGCATCATGACAGAAGAAGAGAAGATTGAAGTGGTTCACGGTTTCATCTTGCTTGAATCCACAATCAGTGTCATTAGGCAATAGCAGGCAAGAAATCAAATGACGTGTTATGGAAATCAAATGTCAAGGACCTCTCGAAGGTGTTGAGGAGCAGTGATGTCAGTTTGAAGACTAAATTGTGTCTGATTCAAGCCATGGGTGTTTTGGTGTTTTTTTGTTTGGTTGGTTTTTGTGTTTTTGTTTTTGGTTTTTTTTTCCCAGTTACTTCCTATGTATTTGAAAATCAAGACATTGACTAAAGATGACAGAAGAACTTCAAGTTGTGGTATTGGAGAAGATTACGTCTTGGGAAAGATGTAATCATGGTATACTCCTTAGAGGCAAAGATAGTCAAACTTCATGTCACATACTTTGGACATGTTGTGATGAGTGGCCAGTCCTTAGAAAAGAGCATCATGCTTGGAAGAGTAGGATGTCAGCGAATAAGAAGAAGAATCTCAACAAGATGAACACAGTGGCTACCACAAGAGGCTCGAGTATATCAAAGATGGTGATGCTGGCATAGAATAGGGCAAGGTTCAGGTCCACTGTTCACAGGGTCACTATGAAACATGATTGACTCAATGACCCCTAACAACAATTTGATATTAGATTGTACCATACAAAATTGCCTTTGGCAATTATATAACAGTATGTCAAGATTTGTGATTATTACATTTTCTTGGTAGAAGTTGACTTATCAAAAAAAAAACCCTTCTATTTATATTTTTAAATCCTTCTTGAATTTCCTTTTTTGTATTATGAACATTTTCACATCAATTCACATTTTGTTAGTGGTTGGCAGCTTATTTTTGTTTCAAATTGACTAAAAGTTAAAGACTGAGAAA